GTCATCTTTGTAGCTCTCCAGACATTTCCCTAGTGCCTGATTTCTCTTTAAACTTAAAATGTCTCCCTCCTATGGTATCTCTTATCTTGTTTTCTTCTATTCTTTCCCTGACTCAAAGAGGTTTATTCTTATAAATGCCTAGCCTTAGCTTGGCTTGTTTCTAGCCAGCTTTTTTTTTAATGAAATTATCCTGTCTCTTTTTGCCTCTGGGCTTTTATCTTTCTCCATTTCTGCATACCTTCCTTTACTTCTTACTCCGTGGCTGGCTGTGTAGCTGGGTGGTTGGCCCCTGGAGTCCTCCTCCTTTTCCTCCCAGATTGCTCCTCCCATTTATCCTCTCTACCTGCCAGCCCTACTTTTCCTTCCTCCTGCCTCACAATTGGCCGTTCAGCTCTTTATTAGACCAATGGTGTTTTACACAGTCACAGTAGCATGGCTTCACAGAATTAAACAAATGCAACATAAAAGAATGCAACACATCTTTGCACCATTAAAACAAATGTTCCACAGCATAAACAAATGGAACACATCTTAAAGTAATATTATACAACAGTCCCCTTCCCATGGAGCACACTCTGGGTCACCAAGGACATTGTCACCCTTTGTGACAAGCCATCACATGGACCCAAGGCATCACTGGTGTCTCCTATGACTTTGCTGCCTTTTTATCCAGATCTGCAGGCCTCATTGTCATGTTCTCCTTTGCCCAAGCGCTACCTCCCAGCCACCCACCACTCACCAGTCAGCTATGTCTGAAGCCAGGAGCCCACACCTGTCCCTCTGTGGTCACTCTCACCAGTTCCCTCCAACTCATCTGAGGGTCATGCTGAGGTTCCCTGAGGCTCATGGGGAGTACTCTAGTTGTCTTAGACTATGACTTGCTCTTTGAACTACATAATTCAAAATGCTTTGTGTTTCGTGTGGCTACTCCAGCCAGATCACATTGCATGCTTCCATGTAATTTCCTGGCCTTTCCTTACTCCCCTGGGGCGTAAGGAATGTTTGCATGTCCAGTGCTTTATCTCCCTGGTGTCAGTGACTGTTTTGGGTTTGTGTCCTTCTTAGGGTAAATAGTTTGCATTCTGCCACCCCCCCATGACTTTAATTCTTGCCTCTTGCTTCTAGTCTTCTATTCTCTTTGAGTGGGAGGCTGACCTAGTTTTAGTTAATGGTCTACTGCTCACCCCAGTCCTCCCAAGAGGGAGGTGACTACACCAAAGATAATTAACCTGGGGCTGATGACCTCCTCCTGTCTCTCTATATAATGTGTCCAGCCTGTAGTATTTTGTTGTATCAATACAAAATGGATTAAGATAATCACTTCTAATTATAATAACCAACTACATCCTGTAAAATAAGATAAGGTTTTTTTCAGGCTTGGAGATGGTTGTATATACATAATGAATGAGATAGCTTAGTGATGAGGCCCAAGTCTCCGTGCAACCCCATAATGCTTTGTCAAGAACAACACAGGGAGATCACTAGTCTCAGGAAGCACCCCGGGACCACACATCTCAGGTCTTCCTGGCAGAACCTGGACCACTTGATCAAGCTCTCACCAACAGGAGACAGCAGGAGGCCATCAGCAGCAAAGACAAGATTCTGAGGGTCTCTTGGTCAATCTGTGGAAGTTCCCTGTTTTCTATACCCTTCCAGTTTCTTCTGCTGTCTCTTCACCAGCTCCGCTAGCTGGTCCTCAAGGCTTCTTGTTGTTTGTATGACAGAGGACAGACCCAGAGTCAAGGTGATCAAGGATCCATGTGTACCCAGATAGGTTCTGACCTGAGACCTAGCTATAGCACACCATCAAGTTCTTCCGGCTTCAGGATCTCCTCAGCAGTCCCAAAGCTGCTTCCTGCTGCCTTTGCTAAACTAGGAACTATCTGAATTCCTTGGGCTAGGCAGCTTTTATGACTGAAAGACATATTCCCCTTATTTTTGAAGTTATGGTGATCTGAGAAACTTTAAATTCCATGAAGCCAGAGGGAGTACAGCCATTCCTGTACCCTGGGCAGGAACACATGAACTCCTGGGGACAAGCTGTCCTATACCTTACTTCTAGTAACAGGCCAGCAGAATGCAGGAGACCAGGAGGTAAGCAGGGGCTATAGCTCTCGTACCCCATCAGTGAGTGCCTTTTGGGTTGTGCATATGTACATCAAAGGTTACAGGGGGAGGCATGTTGCACCTTGCCACACACGTTTCCCTTCACTTTCCCCTTATCCTGGTGCGCTGGCTAGTTATATGTCTACTTGGCACAAACCACAGTCATTTGGGAAGAGGGACTGTCGATTAAGAAAATGCCTCCATAAGATCAGCCTGTAGACAGGTGCATTTTCTTTGTTAGTGATTGACGTGGGAGAGCCCATCCCACTGTGGGCAGTGCCACCTGGGCTGGCGGTCCTGGATGGAATAAGAAAGCAGGCTGAGCAAGCTACAAGGAGCAGGCCAGGGAGCAGCAGCCTCTGCCCCCATGGCCTCTGCATCAGCTCCTGCCTTCAGGTTCCTGCCCTGTGTGAGTTGCTGCCCTGATTTCTTTCAGTGATCAACTATTATCAGGGAGTGTACGATTAAATAAATCCTTTCCTCTCTGAGTTGCTTTTGGTCATGGTGTTTTATCATGGAATAGAAACTCAATCTAAGACACTTGGCATTCACCCAATCTTTAGTTTTTAAAAAGTGTGGTGTGCTCAGGGAGTTCACTGTGAGACTGTGTCTCACAGTGTGTGTTTGTGTGTGTGTTTTAGGAAGTTTGTGAGATAGTAGGTCTTTCCAAACATCCTTAATGTTCGTAATCCTTTTCCCTATCCTTCCCTCCCATCTCCCCCACCCCCATTATTTCTCTTCTCCCTTTCTCCCTGGGCTTTTTGAGCCTACTCCATAAGCAGATACATAGGCAGAGAACACCAAAGCCAGCCCTAGCCCGGGCATCTTATCAGAACAGTCCTGGAAAGGCAGGAGCGAGTTTACCAGCACCTCTTATGAACACTCAGGCTTTGGTCATTTGTTCCTTTCTGGTGAAGTTGGCCCTGCCTGCACAGGACACCTTTGTGGGGTTTTCTTCTCCCACGGCAGGGCAGTAGCCAGCTATGGCCTGCTCTCAGGGCCCTTGGTTGGGGTGATAATCTGCATGCCCTGTGTCTGGGTTGGAATGTGCTGCAGGTAAAATCTAGGCCACTGCAGAGGCAGAGAGGGAGGGCAGGCTAGCCCAGTCTGCTGCTTGAAGGTCCTTCACAGGAAGGACAGCAGAGGCTCCTCTGCCTCCTCCTGCCCCTGCCCCCTGCCTCCTGCCTCCTGCCTCCAGCCCCCTGCCCCCGGCCCCCTGCCCCTGTCCCCTGCCTCTGTCCCCTGCCCTCTTTCTCTTGCCTCTGGCTTCATGTTATAACAGATCAACCACTCCACTCAGTAGCTGATGGACTGGGAAAAAAGAACAATGCTGCATTTAACAGCTTGCACAGGGCTGGGGGCACCTAGGTCTTCCTAAACCCAGTTTTTCGGGGGCTCTCTCCTTTCCAGGAGCAAGGAAAACTCCTGGGAAAGGCACTGCCCTCCCCAAAATAGAGACTGTTGCTACTTTGCTCCTTGCTTGGATTGGAGGGCCCCGAGGTTAGTCTAGCCTCTTGGCCCAGAGCCTGAGCTCTACTAATGGCTTTGCTAATGGCAAGGAGGACTGAAGATCAACGGGCCTTGGCTGTTCTCCTTCCCAGGCTGCACTGCCATGGGAAAACGCAAACACTGGCCAGAGAGCACAGCAAGCATGGTCACTCCAGCTCTGAGCTTTATAATCAACCAGTCTTTCCAAGAGCCAGATCAGCCGGTGATGCTTACACAGAATCCCAGATGTGCAGCAGGCTGGCAGCAGGAGCCAGATCTCCACCCCATCCCTCCCATCCCTCAGCACCAGGTTAAGGTCACTCAGCAGCAGCTCTGCAGTAGGATGCCATGTTGCACACAGTACCTGGTTCCCATTCCCTGGTCATTTTTCCTTCTAAGCACCCAGGATGTTTAATGTATAGTGGAGACATTTAGCTAGCAAATGGAAAGCAGGGGGTTAAACTCCGTGTTTGTCTAGAGTCACCCCTGAGGCCTTCAATACGTTCTCTTCACTGCTCCCCACCTTAATTCCAAGTTTTAAAAACCACCTAGGTAGGAGAATCTCCAGTGAGAGACTAGCCTGGGCTCCATAATGAATGCTGTCTACTCAGGAGAAAAGGCAAGGGGACCAAGAGCTCAAAGTCTGAGCTGAGGAGATGGCTCATGGGTAAAGTGCATACAGGAGGACCTGGATTCGGATCCCCAGCACCCATGTAAAAATCTGAGCATGTTAATACAGGCCTGTAATCTCAGAGAGGGAGACACGGGAGGATTTGGCCAGCCAGTCTAGCCCAAATGGCAAGCCCCAGGTTCAGTAAGAGACTGTCAAAGTGGAGACAGAGGGAGGCACCTGACATACCTGATTCACATATGCACACACACTCCACGTCCCCACACACACACACACACACACACACACACACCCACCCACACACAGAGAGAGAGAGAGAGAGAGAGAGAGAGAGAGAGAGAGAGAGGCAAGTTCAAGATCATCTTTGTTATTTCTTGTAACAAAATACACGAGGAAAGTAACCCAGGGAAAGGTTTCTTTAACTTGCAGCTGGGGTACAGGCCTTCACCGTGTGGAAGCAGGCAGCAGGAACGTGAGGCAGCTGGTCACACTGTGTCCACAGTCAGGAAAGAGCTGAATGCTGGTTTTTGTTCAGTCCAGGATCCCGTTTGTGGAGTGTGTTAACCATGTTCAAGGCTGTCTTCCTTGCCTGTTAACTGTTGTCTTCCTTCCCCTGTGAGGGAAAACCCTCACAGACATGCACAGAGAGATGTTTCATGGCAATCCTAAACACAGTAAGTAATCCTAATCTTGAAAATGAAGATTAATCATCACACTTGTCTACATAGCCAGTTTGAGGCCAGCCTGGCTACATGAATCACACACATACAAAGTCATCTTTTTTTTTCTTTTTTATGAATTTTTGTGTCATCCTTGCACAGGGGTCATGCTAATCTTCTCTATATTGTTCCAATTTTAGTATATGTGCTGCTGAAGAGAACACATAAAACCATTTTTTATTGATCATATACATTTCTTTTTTATTTGAATTAGAAACAAGATTGTTTTACATGTCAATCCCAGTTCCCTCTCCCTCCTCTCCTCCCCTACCACCCCCCTAACTAAAACCCTATCTGTCACATACACTTTCTGCTCCCCATGGAGGGTGAGGCCTTCCATAGGGGGTCATCAGAGTCTGTCATATCATTTGGGATAAGGCCTGGGCCCTCCCCTGTGTGTCTTGGCTCAGGGAGTATCCTCTATGTGGAATGGGCTCCCAAAGTCCACACCTATGCTAAGGATAAGTACTGATCTACTACAGGGCATGGAAAAGATACTTGAAAAGTATATGATCCCATAGATCATATATCTTTTCCATGCCTGTAGTTAATCGTATCAATTTATGATGACTTTTGTAACAAATATAATTTAAATTTGATCATAGTCAATTTTACATTTGTTTGTTTGTTTGGGTGGGTGGGTTGTTTTTTGTTTTGTTTTGTTTTTTGAGACAGGGTTTCTGTGTGTGGTCCTGACTGTCCTGGAACTTGTTCTATAGACCAGGCTGGCCTCAAACGTAGATCCACCTTTCTCTGCCTCCTGACTATAGTGGGAAATTACCAATACGGAGCCAAGTAGAAATATAAGGGTATTTAATAGGGAAAAGCCTTACTTAGAGAGCGACGTAGCCAGCCGGTGTGGCAGCAGTCTGTACGCAAACCAAAAAGAGGGGGTCCAAACTGAAAGCGACACTCAGCCAACTCAAACTCTTACACTGCATCACCCTGACCATGCCCTCACAGGCGTGGTCAGACAGACCTGTAGCCAGCCCCTAAGCAGACGTGGCTACAGGTTCCCCTACAATTCCCCTTTTAGTCAAAGGAGGATTAAAACTGAACAGTGTGAAGTATCCAAAATTAACAATCATAAAGGTGAAATATAGAAGACACAACAATCTGCTTATGTCACATCCTAACTATCTATTTTAACTAAACCCTAAAGTCATCTGAGAGAGGTGTTCAAGCCTGAACACCTCCTTCCAATCCCAACCATAAACAATAGGAAGCTATCTCTAACTAGGTATATACACTATCCTAAGTAACAACAATGGGGGAAAGGGGGGATCCTCCTAGCATCCTCCAAGTTACTTCCTGCTGAAATGGGACAATGATAGCCTTGTGGGGTCCTGTAGGAAGAAAATGTTAGTATAGTGAAAGTCTTGAATGAATTGTATCCAGTCCATGTTAGATGGGATTCTCTTGATTGAAGATCTCCCTTGAAATCCTCAACTTGAAGTCAGTACCCGAAGCTCTGGTGGGAGTGTCAGTTGAAATGGAACAAGTTGTATCCAGTGCAGTCGAGGAAGTGTGGCCCATTTTCTTTCCAGGGTGTCCAGGGATTGCTGTCAGGCAGGTCTTCGTTGGCTGTGTGGGAGTCAAACATAAACAGTTAGCAGAGAAATGTTTGCTTGTGTATGTACACATGCTGGAGAATGCAACCATGAGAGCATAACAATTATGAGAGGGTGTACACCTTGAGAGAAAGATCCAAGAAAA